AAATACTAGCTATTTTTTCATAGTTTTGGCAAGAAACTTGACTTTCTAATTTTGAAAATTAACTACTATTACTACTATAACTTGCTAATTATTTGCTATTTTTTGGCATAGTTTTGGAGTGGATCGGATAAGTGGGTGGGCTACCTGAACTTGGCCCACCCGGTGCAAATTTTAATTTGCTAATAGCAAGTTGACTTGCTAATTTCAAAAACTAACTTGCTATTACTTGCTAATTATTTGCTATTTTTTGGCATAGTTTTGGAGTGGACCGGATAAGTGGGTGGGGTACCTGAACTTGGCCCATCCGGTGCAAATTTTAATTTGCTAATAGCAAGTTGACTTGCTAATTTCAAAAACTAACTTGCTATTACTTGCTAATTATTTGCTATTTTTTGGCATAGTTTTGGAATGGATTGGATAAAGTGGGTGGGCTACCTGAACTTGGCCTACCTGATCAAAAATGTATCATATAAACCGTGAAAATGACTTGCTAATTTTGAAAACTAACTTGCTATTACTTGCTAATTATTCGCTATTTTTAGGCATACTTTTGAACTGTATTGGGTAATGTGGGTGGGCCAAGTTCATGGACGTCATTCTCAACATACAATTGTAAATGTATGTGAGAAAAATTATTGATTTTTTTAGGAAGATGCTGAAGTACTTCATTTGTTATTTGGTCATGTCCAGGTGATTTTTTAATTTTTAACTTTTGTATTACATTTTTTATTTAGTTGGGAGATGTATGTTTGGTAGGGAGTGACATTGGTAGCCGGTAGGGCTACTTAGGAAGTTTGTTATTTGATTTAAGTGACTTGGTTCAGGAGTTATATCGTTATGGGGAGTAAATATTTCGGATAGGTGTTTCCCGAAAGTGTTGGCTTTTTAAACGTCCGAAAAGGCTAACCGTCTGCTTTTTTTAAATGGAAAAGTTGATCTTTTTTTTTAAAAATATTTTTGGTGGTCCTCCATAAGAACCCATCTTTAGAACATAAGGACTCGTATTTGTGTTTGATTAACTCAAATATATAGATCCGAATTTTTGTTTTTATGGTTTTGGACAGGTGATTGTATCTTTTTTTTGTCGGATGGTAGAATAATAATTTATTTTTAAAATAAGTTATAGGTACGTTTTGAGAAATTGTCAATACATACATCGATGTGTACGTTCCATGTCTCAGTTGGGTAGGCTTATTATCCGTCTGAATTTTGGAACCCCGATTTTCCTGTATGTTCCAGTAACATAATAGTATGTAGTATCAAAATAGTCAATTATATCTGAATTATCGGATGCACAAATTGATTTCAAGTACTTCATACCTTCAATCACTTTTCACACCGGCAAAAAAGCTAAGCCATCGACCATACTACAATAATGGCTAAAGACGTTATCATGATTATATTTATTTCGTAATACTAACTTATAGTTATCTATGCTTGCTTTGGCACAAATGATAAAAACAATCTTGTATTACCAAATGTTCAACAATAACGGTTTTTGCTACTTGTATAACAACTTGTTCAAAGTCCATGTTCATTATCTGAAAATCGGGATAAACATTGCTTTAGGAAAATATATTGAGAATTTCAGTAAAAATTTCTTCATACGTCCTACTATTTTTTTTTTGAAGTAAACAATATCGGAGTAATAAATGTATCATACTTTTTAATTCTAATAACAAATAATTGTAAACAAATTTGGGACTATTTTCCAATGAACAAATTATTATTCGCTCAATTAATCCCGAACCATTATCATACAGCAAAAATCGTTCGTCTTTGCGTACATTACCCATTTATTATTATTAATTTTAAGTTCGGACAAACATCATGATGGTTGATTTGGATTACTTTTATTTTTTTGACGCCGTAACATTCTTTTGATTGTTTCCAAAGGAGGGAAAGTTAATGAAAATAATTAACTCTAGTCTCTAGTTAAGTTAAGAGTATAAATATCAATAAAGTTTTATCTGTTGGGCCAAAAAGTGTAAAAATTTAATACAAGGCTCCTGATATATTGTTACAATAGCAATTGAAAATTTTTAAAAATACATTGGCACAATTTTTTTATATAAGCATTTAAAGATCGAATTTTGACAACATTTATTAAAATCTCGAAAATTATCAATCATTGTAATTAATTAATTATAAAATGTTCAGTTTTTATAGCTAAGGATTGCAAATTTAAAACAAAGGTTCTCATAAATAGTTCATACTGTAACCAAAAAATCTAAAAAATATATGAACACAGTTATTTTTACAGACATTTTAAATTCAAATTTGGACGAAATTACATAATAAAAAACCTAGTAACTATTTTAGTTATTTTGTTGTGATTGAATAATATTATTCGTGGGTACTTGAAACTTCTAAAGTGTACTATTATATATCTATGATAGTATCACTTTTTTTTATGTATAACGCGTTATAAGTATCTAATGGATATTGTGATATGATTAATTTTGAATTCATTATAGGTACCTATTATAGGTCAAATTTTGATTTAGTGCCATAAATATGTATATAATATGTCTTATACCTAGACTTACCGTCTCCGACATACCGTCTCCGCTCAGAATCGTTTTTCTTATACAATGATATTATATTGTTGAATTCAAATTTAATATCATCCATTATACAGTGACCCACTTGTAACCTACTGTACAGCAGAGCGACACCCACTTGCCCACCTTTTTTTTTTTTTAATAAGTATGTAAATCACATAAAGGGTGAGTGTGTCTTTCTGGTTTCTAATTTATAAATTATAAAAAACAATTTTATTGAAATTTTCTTATAATGTAGGTACACTGTATACCATTTTACTTTTACTTTACTATTATTTACTAATTTAAACTATACTCATCTCAAATTAATAATTTAACAAATATATTTTTTTATATCGTATAGCAATTGAATTTCATAATACCTGAAGATGAGTAGTAGGTACATGACCTTCATATATGTTATAAGTTATAGAACATTAAAAGAACAATTGTCAATTTGTAATTTAAAATTATTAATTTTACCAAAAACATTTATAATTACAACCCGCATAATATATAATTTACAATTTAATAAAATATATTAATTTACACAAAATTATGTTATCAAGAAAAAGAACAGAAATGTTTGTGTTTTTGTATTGGATTATTTTTATTTTATACTGATATAGTAATATTTACGTATAAAAGATCAATTTCAAATTGTTTTTAACTTGATGGATGTTTTTAAAATCAACTGGGAAAAGCTAACGTATATCAACTATAAATTAAACTAGTTAAGTTCATAGGTTGGTTAGAAAATAAACTAGTTAGGTAGTAGTTAAGTTAAAAAGTTAAAACAAAATTAACTTTAACTTTTTAACTAGTTAATACCCACCTTTGGTTGTTTCTTCATTTACTAAAGATGTTAAGGTCTGCTATGGCACCCGATTTATTACTTCAACGAAATTTGCGAAACAGTTAATGTTGTTGAAACACGTTGTCACATTTCAGACTTGGCTTTTTCCACTATTTCTAAATTATCATCACCAGCATGCGAATGTTCAGCCTCAATTATTGGATTTGTATAATCTAGTTAAATGTTTAAACGTGTTTTATTAAAAATATATAATTAATTTTTTTTAAATATTTTAAGCTTACCATTGGTAATTACTAAAATGCCCGAACATTTTTTTGAAATTTTATTAGAAAATGTCCACCGAATACTTGAATTAAGATTATGATGAACCGTATATGAATAACCGTTGCTATTTGTTGCTTGCCCATAGCTTGCCATAGCTTGTAGCCTGTAGGTATATACTCGTATGGACGTATGGTAAATAAACTGTAGACATATACTGGCATACTGCCGCGATAAACATTAGATAGCTATAGGTACCTACTAAACTATTAAACTATTCTGGATTTCTGTTATACTTTTGTTACGTATAACTGTATAAGAAATAATAAAAATAATAAAATATAAAAATAATATAATATTGATATAAGTACAAAAATTAAGTAATTTCGTTACAGTAATTTGTAATTTGCATTACTTTACGACCCGACTGGAAATTATTATATATTATATAATATTATAATTTATAATTATATGTAAATGAAAATTTAATAAATAATTTTGCATTTCCGGACTTTTTGTCTGACAGTAAGAATGTGCTCTGACTTTTTGTTCGATAGTCAAAAAATGAATCCTGTCTTTTTGTCCAAATTTTTTCATAACGGACTAATTTTCGTCCAAGATTTGTTTTTAGTGTGCCCTTGGACAGACGTTTTAAGACAAATCGGTGCCTATCAACACTTCCATTGGATTCGTATACGGGTGGTACCGATATAGGTACCCATTTTTCTATATTATAATAATAACCTAATATTCTTCGATTAATATGTTTTGAATTACAACAAAGTAACAAGTCGTTATATTATTACCTACATGGCTACATTTGAATATCGTTTGTATATACGTTAATTTGTTTTAGAGTTAAACCAAAAACCAAAATCAATTTTGCGTAGAAATTCCCGTTTTACCTTCATTTTTAAAACGCTTTTGAAAACTATTTGGAATTTTAAATTTTGACCTGCCCAATGCACCAACAATATTCACTTTCTCATCGAACAAGATACTGAAGTTGAAAATCGAAGCATTATTTCGACTACTTATCGTGTACAGTAAATGAGTTTATACAAAAAAATGTAAGTGATGTGCGTTCTGATGTAATTAATTTTGTAGTTGATTATTTACAAATTAAACAACCAAGATAAGATTATAGAGAGTTGTTAGAATTGACAATTATTTTTCTTGGGGGAGTGCCCCCTCGAGGAATTTCTTTAAGAGTACCCGGAGCCATCCATCATGCCAGGTGGATGGCAAAAGCTATATACTGTTTGAAAATATTTTTATTCCGAAGTCAATTTCGTTTAACACAGAAAGAAGAAATGTCTATTGCCAGTGTGTGTGTCTTCATTGTTCGACTATACATAAAAGCCTGGTTTGTTGCACCTATGGCTTCGAGAGCACCTTACCAAGATCTAAATTTTTTAAAAGATTTAATAAGATACCAGTCTATTGATAAAAGTATATCTGAAGTCACAATTAAAAAAATGTGTGGCCATTTGTGGTACCTATCACCCGAAGCAGCTGAGTTATCGTTCTTCGATCCACACGTACCAGTAGACACAAAAAGAAAAATGATTGCAGCTCTTAATATGGATACAGAAGAAGATAATATAAACCGATATGTTTTGAACCCAAAAGAGTCTGTTGATATATTAAATAAAGGCCTTGAAGATTTTATTTGTGTGAGCTCAATGCAATTTTTTAAACGTTTCAAAATAAATACTGACTTTCTTACGACTGATCCATCAAAATGGAACGATGATGAACATTTTAAAAAATCTACTGCAATTGTCACCAACATAAATGTAGTCAATATGATATTGCTGAAAGAGGAGTTAAACTTATAGAGGAATACAATACAAAAATTACCAATGATGAAACTCAAAAACAATATTTGCTCCAAGTTGTGTGTGACTATCGCAATAAATACCCAGACTCCAAGAAGAGTACTATTTTACATAAAAAGTTTTAAAAAAATTGAATCTGAGTATAAACATTAATAAAATAAAAATTTTTTTTTTAAATATTTGTTTTATGAAAAATGTATAAGAATAAAAAATACACAAAATGTTATTTCAAAAAAATTATGTTCTTATACTTTTTTCGATACAGTCATTATTATTTGTGATATACTTGAAAAACATATCAAACTATGTTGTTTTCTACAAAACAGGGATTCGCAACTTCAACCCTTTTGTGGCACGGGTTAATATTGTCCGATTCTTCTAAAACTTTTTATACATCGTTTTTATAAGTATTCAAACTAATTTAGGTTGTATAATTAACACATTTTCAAGGTTCAGTTTTAAGGACCAGTAGGACCACCCTAGTGTACACAGACACAAAAATAAAAAAACTCATCATTGTAAAATCAATACATTCATCGTTCCACTCAGAATCTAAAACACATTGTAAAATCAAAACATTCATCTAAAATCTAAAATGAACATACTTTTATCGTTGCTATCTATTTTATATTAAAAAAATAAACTTCTTAGACGGTACATATAGGTATTAAAAAATATATACTTATTTTCGAACCGCGTAGTTTATTGTTTTAATAAATTTCTTTTATGTAATGATTAGAACGATTGGAATTCGAACATAACCCTTTTTTGTCCTGAGCAGTAAAGTATTTACGGGAGGTCAATGGGGTCCGCCCCCCCCCCCTAATTGACTCTTGTCACGTACATGTTAAATGTTGTGTTTTTATATGATTGAGAAAAACAAATTTTATCATAAGATAAGAAGGATTTTGTCAAAAAATTTCGAAGCATCAGTTATCAACATTTTCAGTTAGTATATTGATTTTTTTTTTTGTTATCAGTTTGGTACCAAAAATGGTTGAAAAATACCGAGTTCATTTTTTAATTTAAATATTTTGTAGTTTTGAACATTGCCAGTATCTATACAGCCACTCCAGAGAGATCAGGTTGAAAAGTTATCTAAGATCAACTATGTATGTAAATACTAATGTATTTTAGGAAATATTTTTATAAAAGTTATAACATAACTATATTAGAATATTAGATTCTGAGAGGAGCGAGGGATCTAGTGGTTTTACAATGGTGTATATTTATTTTTTTTTATCTTGTATACAAAATGTCCACTAGAAGGAGTGCTTCGATTTCAATATATAGTACCTTATCTTTTAGAAAATTGGATCAAGATGGTACTTTAAGTAGGTCATTTTTTGATTTTCTCAATAGTTATTTAATGCCACGGGAAAAACCACCGACAAATTACGAAAAATCGCTAAAAATGGGATTTTAATTTCTAACGCTTTGTTTATCACCAAAGAAACGAATAAAAAAACAATATTTCAATATTAATTCAACTTACAGGCTATATAATAAATTAAAAACTCAAACATTTTAAATCGTCTTATAAATATGGTATATATTTTATTTAATAAAGGGTAATTGGGTGGTATGGGGGGGGGGCTTTAGCCCCGTGGCTCTGTTTCCTGAAAATTATCTGGATTCCTAAATACGCCACTGGTTCTGAGTGCAATTTGATAGAAATAAGTGCAGTTTGACCTTACCAAATTATTTGTTAAGTTTAAGTATCACGTTATTTGAGATATGTGATAAAGTATTATGTGTCGTATACCGACATTCATGTATACGTTTATAATGTAGTATAAATTATTTAAAAAAAAATTTGTAGAAAATTCCATGACACTAATCTACAACGAACATTTAGAGAGAAGATATAATTTAACACAAATATTTATTTCAGACTGAAATAGGTACAATTATTACAAAATATAAAATAAAATACTTGTTATAAAATATATATTATTATAAAGGTCCTTGAAGTAATAAAAATCACTAATTACAGCCAAGTTTTAGTGCTTTTAGGATGTACAAAAATTAAAATTAGTGCTCCTTCCTACCATCGATTAACCATGATTATAAAGACGATATGCAATACGATTATTTCATTACAAAGTTAAACAGCATTGATGTTATCGAAATTTGTATATCTTTATAGCGATTAGATTAAGTGTTGTTATGTAGTATATATATAGTATTAGAAATACCGCAAGTAAATGAAAACAATTTTCCTCGGTTGTTCAGAGAATAAAAAGCTGAGTAATATAAAATTTTAAAATTTTGATTGGGATCTACTATGCAGGAATACCGGATCATCACGGGATGTCGGAATTCATATCTAAAATGTGAATTTTTCTCTAAACTTGAACTTGTTTCAACGGGTAACCGTCTTTCATTGGCCAATTAGGTATCTTACTTTTTTAGAACGTTTTCCAATTTTGTCAGTAATCGCTCTTGAAAAAATGTTTTGGTTTTTTTAAATTGATCAATTGTTTCAAAAATATCCAATGATATTATTTTAATCACTTACTTAGTAAGTCTTACTAGATAGTTTATTGATAGTATATTATAATAAATAATACCTATTTACTAAAAACATAAAAACTTGAAGCTTTTTAGTTATAAACCTACCTTTGTCCTTTACCTTCAGCCCGGTTTCAATCTCCAACTCCACTTGAAATCTCATTATAGCTCTAATAAAAATCAATTCTGTTGAAGTATAATATTATCTGATTATGTATAATATAAATAATTAAATGTAAAATGTAAAAACAATATTTTTTAGTGGTAGAAAACTTTTTGCAAAAATAAGCAACAATGCAGATGATACTTCTAGGATATAATATAATATATTTGCCACAGTAGGTAGATACGTTTTTTCCATGATATGTACCTACAATGTCAAAAATAAATATTAAAGTTAATCCGAATTTAAAAAATGCCTCTTCTTTAAAAGTGTTCTTATTGTCTACGTCGCTTACGCCTTAAATCGGCACTGGATATTATATTGAACATCTATACTTCCCAAATAGTTTTTCCTTTCAATTAAGGCTATTGAAATCGAACCATTATTAAATGGTTCGATTTAAGCAATATTAAATATATTATCTCCAGCTGTTTAATACTGATTATTTAGATTTCTGTAGACACTTTTCTAGATTCGTTGGACAACCATACTATCTTCAATCGTGCTTCATATTAACTTTTGTCCATCGTAATTCTATTTTTATCTTTATAATTAGAATATGATAAGTATTGGGTCACTTATTTTGACTGGAACAATTTAATTAAATAGGTATAGTGATTTATTATAACTACAAAAAAATGAAAATGTTTACATTTTATTATTATTTTCAAATAAAAATGAAAAAATACTTGAATATTCTAATCACAAATTTCTAAAAATAGAATTAGGGATTCGTGATCCCAGCTAATATTATTTAGTTGAAAATATGTTTAATTATTTGGTTGTCTTCTATTAAATTATTATAATCCATTTAATTATATAACTGAAATAATCTGTACAATAATATGTATGCATATTTATAGAAATAATTAGTTTGAATTGTTTGGTGAATATCTATTTATTATGATATACGTAATAATTAATAGCCACGTTCTCGTTTCGTGACGAACAACTTCGTAACGTAAGTAAACATTTTTATTTTAGTTGTCAAAACTCATACTGTAGGTACCTGTATGGCTGTATAATACACTCATATGACGTATATAATGCATATAGGTAATTGTAATTGTTTTTAGTAATGTTCCTTGTTAGTATATAGACTATATATAGACTATATAATATAGTGTTACTTGTATATTATAAGCCAAAATTACAGTATTTTAGTACCTGAACACTTACAGAAGTAAATTTTTAGGATCAATGATGGACAATGATAGATCTTTCAGATTTTTGATCCCTCCTACAGTCCTACGTCCCTCTATATTGCACTAACTATGGCCGTAATCACAGCATCCACTGAATGATACGTCTAGCATACGTGAACCTTTATCGCCTACTATTAGTAATACTTATCATATGAATAATCTTAAATAGTTAAATATATTTCTTTTTAAAATGTATGTATCTTCTTTTCAAGCTACTGTACCTACTACCTTGGGTAACCTTGGCCCGTTATGTATGTAAAATATAATGAACTAAAATAAAGAAAAGTGAAAACAGTCATGTTTATATTTCACACGGAATGGACCATGTTGATATTTTATAGGTAATATGTATATTATATATATATATATATATATATAGAGGCACGCATGTATAATACATTAATACATAAATATGTCGTGGAGATATTCTGGTAATGTGGTATATAGTATTTTGAAAATCCGTTATTTTAAAATGAACCTTTTCTAGAGGTTCAAGTAAACATGTCGAGCGAAAATGTGTTTCAGATAGGACGTGACACGCCTCCTCAAATTTATAATAAAATTTCCAACTCGCATACACTTATCACTTATCAGATACACAAAATAGACGATATCAGCTATAGTGTTTTGGGTCCATAGTGACGGAAATGAACTCTTCGACAATTTCTCTGTCCATGCCTGTGTATGCCCTGTGCACATCCGCGGCATCGTTTGACGGTCTCCTCTCCCTTCTGTCCGGTCGTGCCGGTTTCAGTTTTGACGCCGTTCTGTGACTTTTCCACTTGGGCAAGGTTCTCGTTTCGTCGTACACACCCTTTGAACAAGAACATTTTCATCGTGTTTATTATAATAAGATATTATATTATAAAAAGCAAACTACAGAGTAGAGAGGTAATTTAACTGTGAATTCAATTTATTGCATAATAAAGTCGAGCGCCAAAGCGTGATGGCGTAACCTATAAGACATTAAAACGGGAAAAGTAACGTCATATATAGCGGTCAGCAGATAACCATACTTGTTAAGTACATATTTAAAATATATTAGAGTAGGTACCTACTTATTTTATGTTTTTATATTTAAAGAAGATGCTATGCTCTACAGTAGGTTACAAGTGGGTCACTGTATAATGGATATTATTAAATTTGAATTCAATGATATAATATCATTGTACAAGAAAAACGATTCTGAGCGGAGACGGTATGTCAGTCTAGGTATAAGACATATTATATACTTATCTATGGTATTAAAAAAAATTGACCTATAATAAATTCCAAATTAATCATATCACAATATCCATTAGGTACTTATAACGCGTTATACGGGAGCATATTACTTGTGTCCGAAATTACTATCAGTAGGTGAGTTGCGTCCCTCAAAAAAAAGGTTCAAAAAGGTCATAGCCGATTTGCGTCCCTGCAGTACACCTTTTTTTATGACCTAATTGCGTCCCAAAAATATCGATATAAAAATGTAAAAAAAAAAAAGTATAAAAAAAACTATTCTGACCGAAAACGGTCAGTCAGCCTATGATATTACTAAGTATATTTCAATCCTTAGCTTTAAAATTCAAACTTATAAAATTACAAATTCATATGTTTTATATTTTGTCATGGTAGTAATAATAATAATAATAATAAAAATTCATGTTATTATATATGATGTAACGATTCTGAGCGGAGACGGTATGTCAGTCTAAGTATAAGACATATTATATACATATCTATGGTACTAAACCAAAATTTGACCTATAGTAGATACCTATAATAAATTCAAAATTAATCATATCACAATCTCCATTAGGTACTTATAACGCGTTATACATCAACAACAAACCCTTATACTATCATAGGTATATAATAGTGTTCTTTAGAAGTTTCAAGTACCCACGAATAATATTATATAATCACAACAAAATAACTAGAATAACTATTCTAGGTTTTTATTATGTAATTTCGTCCAAATTTGAACTTAATGACTATAAAAATAAACTGTGCTTATGTATTTTTTAGATTTTTTGGTAACAGAATTAACTACTATTACGCGGACACTTGTTTTAAATTTTCAATCTTTAGATATAAAAGTTGAACATTTTATAAATTTTTAACTACAAAATAATTATTCAATTTTAAATTCGATCTTTAAATGATTATAAAAAAAAAATGTTGCCTATGTATTTTAAAAATCTAAAATTAGATATACTAGATAAGTATTATGCTAAATTATTTGAGCATTTTCTGTTGTGTTTTTGCTTTGTCAACTCAGCTCACTCAATTAAAAAAAATATTAATCATCACATTAACATATTATACAGATACATAGGTAGGTACCTAAAACTTTCTCAGTCAAATTCAGACCCTGAAGACCTCATAAACAACTAAGTATTTAAATGTATTAGAGACTTTTTTTAAATGTATATGGTACCTCCTACTTATTTATTTTAGTAATTAAATACCTTAAAATGTATTTAACATTTTTTTTTAAAAATAAAGTATTATGCATACCATCTAAAATATACTTCATAATTGACGCTATTTTTATTTTGTTCAACTATAAAATGTATTAAGCACTATTATTTTGTTCAACTATAAAATGTAAGTATTAATTACTAAGTTGATTATTATTATAATCTGCATGTAGTTTTTTTTTAAGCCTATAGGCTGCACCTACCTTAGGTACTTATATTTTGCTCTGCCTCCACAACTTATACCGTTTTATTATAATTTCTTAATCGTTTATACAGAAACTATTGCTCTTAAAATATTGTTTACTTTATGTGTACCAATAATATATATTTGCTAATTTGAAATTTTGTTACAGTTATTATAACTAAAGGATAAAATGTAGTTTTTTTTTCAGAACAATAAAAATTTAAATTTAAATTAATTTAGAACAGATGGAGAAATACATGCGATATTGCTATATACTGAAGTAACGTATTAACTTTTAAACCTACTTTTATAATATAGTTTACTTAGATGGTATCAATTTTTAAATAAAAGTTTGCATTAAAACTACCTACTTAAGCAAAAAAATACGTAGGCAAGTACCTGTAGTTTGAACTAGAAATATGGCTATACCACATTTCAATACTTAGGTGTTAGGTAAGTAATTAATTTATTATAGTAACAACATCTATACTTGAAGCTATTCAATATTGCTATTTATCATTTCATTTTGAATGCAAGTTAATAACTAGGTATAAAAAACATTTTACAAAAAGTATTTATTTACTTTGAAAAATTGTTTTTCATACTATTAAGTTTGCAAACCTACGCAAATATTTTATTATTTTCTTTCTAGAACAATATTTGTATTATATATAATATGTATTATTGTTATGTACTTATGTAGGTATAATAGGTATGTTTTTTAGATATTGGGAACTGGGAAATGGCAAGCAATACATTCATTATAAGTGATTTTCTATGATTTTTGAATTAGTGACACCTAGATCTTTTATATTGATAAATGATCTATACCTCCTACCTATAACCTATTATTCAAACGTCCAAGTTATACATACAAATCAATAATCATACTCGGTTCTATGTTATAAACTTTTACCTATATTGTATTTTTTTTGTTTCTTTGTATCATAATATACTAATTGTTATTTGTTAGTTGTTGCAATATTATTAAAATACTATAATATGTGTTTTTTTAGATACCTACGCAAAATAATGTTGGACGTTTTGATATTGTTAATTTTGATCATTTATTACTGATTTACACATATCATACTTAGTCACAGACATTATTTTAATTATAGGTAGATAATATCATAATTGTACGTGAAAGGCAAAATATACATTTGAACAGTAATAACGTGCCACCAAACAGATCTGCGCCAAAGACTAAATTTCGATCAAATGATGTAAAAATTCTGAAGAAATAAGGTAAATATAAAAGTTATTAATTGAAAATCTAATCGGCATTACCTAACTAATAACTATACACTATTGATCTGTTGATATCGATATGTTTAGGCACAATATTGAGTGCGAGCAAATGTCTGATTTTGAATGCAGCTAAGTTCGTTAAGTACGAAGTATCTATAATATTATTTATATGCCTAATTAATATAGAAACAAGGTCTAATTACAATAAAAACTGTAGTTACACAATATAATTCAAAACAGTGCTTAGTTAACATCTCTTTTTAATTCACAGAAACTATTATAGGTAACAACAGGATAAATTAGATAAAGTAGGTTGTAAATAAAGAAGAGTAAAACAAATTAACATTTCTTATACCTTGTTTAAGTACCTACCTTAAAAATTAGGATATTAATTCTGTACAATCAATTACATTGGTAAGGAACAATAAAAAATAAAAAATCTAATTTGTTCATCTTATTTCTACGGTATTTACATTTATAACATTTGGTAATAATAAATAATTAACTGAACGAGTTAAACTGATCGAAACTGATTAAGGACCGTTCTTACAATGTCTGGTTAAGTGTCGGTTAGGATTATAACCAGCAGAATTCTATCGGTAACACAATAGACATTTTGCCAGTTAGCGTTATCAGACACTTAACCGGATATTGCAATATGGCATTATAGTGACTAGAGAGTATAGTTTTAAAATATAGTTAGGTACTATTCAAAAAGCACGTTTCGAGTGGAATTTAATTTACTAGGAATTAAAAAAAAAGTTTACATATTACATATTACGTCATGGTACCTACTTAGTACTTAGATGCTACCTATAGGTATTAGGTACCTTATATTTCTTAATATTGAATGATAATTTTCATGCTTCATCTATCTGTAATCTATAATCAGATAATCTATATAAATATAAATATATATACGCATGATATGATTATAGTAATATACGAATCTATATCTAATGTATTAATACAATCTATTGCCATTGGGGATAATGCAGTTTTTTATCCCATAGGTATAAGAAATAAAATAATAATAATAAATACACATTATACGCCTAAATATTTTATACGAAATAATAATAACAACAACATTAACAACCATGCGATCGTAAACTGAATACCTAACGGTTTCAAATTGCGCGACCAAAACACCACTCGTATACACACACACGTTAGAATATAACTACGACGACATTATATTATACGTCATTATAGGTACCTATTTAGATGTGTGATAGTTTTTTCCAAACGACAATTATTATTTCATACTGTCATTACACATTGTTCGTTTTGTACACGTCCACACGATACATATACATATATGTGGTAAAACCATAGGTACAGGTACCTATATTTGTTGTGTATGTGCGTATAGGACATGCCTAATGATAATATATTATTCGGATCGGGCTTCGGATCCAATCAGATTTGACGACAGAAGGACCCGGTCTGACGAGTGTCTCGGGCGTGTCAAGTATACTAGCTCATGGATCGACCCGAGTACGTATGGTTATATCTTATATCACTGCCCCCATCGTGCATAGGTGATCCCCTAGGATGTTTGGTGTCCGGGGACCGGGGTTGATGAAAAAAACTCGGTGCCCCAATTTGTTCAGTTATTTCTTTCTTTAGTTCACTAATCGCTTAAGCTTAAAACTAAGATTTCTTATTATTAAAAATTTGATTATTGGGTTTATTTTATATAACTCTGTTTGCCACACACTTCCACCCACAAGATCGGGTATTGCCTGTGACCATCGAGCTACCGAATTCAGAGGTAAATGCCATATTATAAAATATTCCCTGTCTCATATGTTAGGACTCATAATAGCCAATAGGGAGTGTTTATTCCCGTTGATGCAGTTTTTAGCAGCCTACATTATGTACATAGTGCTACAGTAGTAGCGACGATTGCGTTTTTTTCTTTAAATCTATTCTCTCCTATTCGTTCGTGAAGTACGACTATCGCCGACCGACAGACGGACGCGTAGGAGAGAATAATGCGCGTGTTTGTAAATGAGAATGAAAAGAAAGAGACATTTCCAGCCGAACCGATAACTGGGCTGGAACTAATTCCTTTACGTTTATTTCGTTTCATACCAGCTTATATATATAATATATTTATTATAGTAGCATATATATATATATTGCGTATACACACGCTGTCAATGTAGTTGAGCTGCAGAAGAATATAATAGTACCTATAATATGATGTGATGTATGTGTGTAGAGATACTATTTGAAGAAAAAAATAGCCAATTATATTATAGACGAGTCTACAGCGGAACCACGGCCATATACCTAGTTGCTGACGGTTTTTTTGAAAATAAAAGTATAGGTATTATAAAAAAACCACGGAATAAAAGCATAATTCAAAAAAATTTCATAAAAAATAAATAAATAAATAACTATCTTCATCGTTAATATTTATTCATACCTATTGGGGGAATTATCTATGTTATTATGCTATTATTTTTTTTCACCGTTCGGTGACTGTGAAAAGCTGTTTAAAAATGCGTTCTGTGTGTATATTCTATTAGGTATTGTATATATATATATAAATATATAATACCGTTTGCCGGTATAAGAAAATATTGTCCATGTATCTCTAAATGTTACCACAAATTTCTAGACTTAAAGAAATTGTCCAATACTGTGAAGTGTGCTAAACATAGTGTATGGGTAGTACAACGTATATCTAAGCAATTGTAAATGCATTGTGAATTGTAATTTTCTCTAATTCGGGAGAGCATCTTAATATTCTTACATTTATATCTGTCATATGCTGCTGTGATAAATGGACATTGGACACAGTCTACATCAGGGGGTACTCTATAGTTAGATTGAAATTAATTGCAATCTCTTATTTTTGCAATATTGTTTGGATCAATGAACATGACAGTTTAATACTTTTTGAGTTTTTCGACTTGGTATATATATTATTGAGTACACATTTTGGAAGTTATATTCCAAAATGAAATAAAATAAATCCTTCCTAGTTCATATTATTGGAAAATGTTAATAGTATTGTGTTATAGTTTGATTGTGTTAAACCATGCATAGAGTAAAAAATATGCTATAATATAGTTATAGCCTAACCCTAATAATATTATATTATACCTATATATTTGCTCTATTTGATACATATTATTATTCGTTTTATATGATTTAAAATTAAAGGTCATTATTATAACAAACATCGCACCCATGTATCATTTATTATATATTTGTTGTCTATTATAATAAATATAATCTAATGGATACACAAATTGTGATGGCATATTTTAGCCTTACTATCCAATTCATATTTTTGTTATGCTTAAAGTAAATACAATTTAATACCTACACACTTTATCATAAATATTTGATTTTAAGTAGGTGCCTATTCGACTTGTGCAGAAATTATATCGAGAACATATAAGTTATGATTTAAGTTCACTGCAGATTGTATATCTTTATATTTATTTACATTAGGTACACTAACAAGTAGGTAACAATAACGTGTTAAATACCCCATGTTAACTATTTTTAAAGAACTTATAAGTGTTACCTATTCGTGCGGACGTGCGGTTGGTTCGTCCTATCTATAACTTGCGAGCTCGTTTCATTTTTTTTTAACAAATGTCTTTTTAAAAGCGTTAACCGCAGAATTATTATTTTCATTTGTTAAAAATATAATAATAAATATACTCACATTGGTTTGAAAACATTTATATGGGTTTGTCATCGTGACATGAAAATTATTATTATTGTACTAACGGTTGTTATACAGGTGCTGCAGGTGCTGCAGGTATAATATGCTATAGTCGCAGCTGATATAGGTGTATGTTTATATTTTTTATGTGACTAACATAACACGTATAAATAAAAAAATAATTTAAAAAAGTTCCGTACGTATTTAATGGTTATTATAATATTATTATAGACTCGGAGAAAACTTGTTCAAAATGCATTTCTACTTTTTTTTTTAATTCAAGTAGAAATTTCGAATACAGCTGTAAGTCGGTGAGATTTGAATAAAATTACTTACCATTTTATTGTCGTAGACCTGCCTAGGATAGTTTGTCTGTTGACGAGGTCGGTCCAGCTGAGATGGGGTTTGTTGCACCAACCACTTTTGTACAAGTTTCTGTTTGCTTCCGACGCTTGAACTGCAACAAGATGAACTCCTGTGTCTTGAATTCGACCACGAAGTTTGTTGTTCACCTGCCACAATCAACCTAACTAGTCGGTAGAAACGGAATGCGGCCAACATTGTGGTCAGACATTGTACGGACGTAGCCAGCAGTAAACCTAAATTCGCCAACACGGGAGCCCAATTTGTCTGTAACTGATCCGCTGTCAACGTTTTGTAATGTGTCTGCAACAAACGAAAATACGATTATGGTTTATACCAACTACGATTCTCAAACTTGTTTGTTCGCAAAATTCTGGAATGTCAATTTTATACCTTGCAAATTATATATCTAATCTAATTTTCGACTATGACACAAAATACGCTGTTAGTGGTTACCTATACGTTAGGTAGGTAATAACTAATACTACTGTAACCACTATAAACTTAAAAATATAATTCCAGACGTATAGTAATATTGTATATATCATATTTTGATCGAATTTAGGTACAGCTCGAACGCGTTAACCAATTTTTTGTCACACGTCTAAATATCGGGAAAACTAATTGTACACACGTAAGTCTTTGCATAATTTCAGTTTGAACCTAACCTTGTCTTTTGGAATGATGTAATATGGCTTCTGCGAGTCCTTCAACAGTCCAATAGCTGTAAGTATGATGGCCAGATTACTGACACCCACGGACACTAAACACAGAGCCAGATAAATTGTAACGGACAGCGGAGACAGTGTCCTATCTGGCGAAAGACATCCGTTTAAGCTGGCCATCAGTCCAACTACTCCGTTGCCCATGGCCATCGCACCGCTCCAAAGGCCGGCGCCCACACTGGATAAGGACGCCTCGTGTAACATCGATAGCACGCCAAAAACGACCATCAGACATCCGGTAACTATTTGCATCAGTCCGATCAGGCTGATGTATTGTATCTAAAAGCAATGATCATTTTTCTAGTAGATAATGGTTACCTACATTATTAGGTATACAATTTTGTTTTTTAAATGTTTTAATAATATTACTATATTTTATTAATTAATATTATGAGTGAATAGATATAGAACTAACTTTAAAACAATTAAAAAAAAACAAATATATTTCAGTTATAATTATTTGTATGTATGCGTGCATGCGTATGGCATAATATATAGGTATTTGAAAAACGTACTTGTATAATATATACCAAAAAGATAATATTATATTACTTGATGGTTTTATTCAGCTTTTATTTTAAATTAATATAATACATATTATAACACCGGTTACTAGAATTTTGATTGTATATTTTGTTTCTTACTTTATAATAAGTACCTACCGTAGTAGCTACTATTATCGTACATTGAAGAACATTTTGTTAATTTCAATAATTTAATTTGTTATTTTGTTTTAATTTATCCAGCTTTTAATAGGTAGGTCGTCATGTTGGATAGTGTTTTCTATATGAGAATATATAACAATTCTAACGATAAACCGATAAACGATGTATATTAGTAAGTTCTTAAACATAATTAATACCCATATGTTAAAAATTAGATATTAGGTATATGTTACATAAGTATTTATATATAAGTTTTTTTAAACATTTTTAGTGTGACAACACCGTGTAATAAATAATAATTGAATTTTGAAGTTAGTTTAGGAATTATTATATTGCTTATTGACTATTGTAAACTAAGAAAGAAAAATACGTTTTTAATAAATTTAGTTGAAAACGTTTAATTATTATAGCTTTGCCTTATTTTAAAATGTCACCCACATTGTTTTTCGTTTTGGCCTACTATATAAATTGGATGGATTAAAATAATAATAATTTAATTGTTTTAGTATTGTCTACGGCGTTGACCTAAACTCGTTTTCGAACAATGGCACCAGCCATCAATGTCCCAAAAAGAAACCATTCGATTATACAATTATTAGATTTTAGTTAAGTACTTTACTGAACTACATATATAACTAATTAGGTAACAAAATGTAGGTTCGTACTTGATCGGAATGGTGACGAGGCTTACAGGCGTTGACAGGTTTCTGGGGCGTCTTGACTACAAAATCGGCTTCGGACGGGTAGTATGAGGGAGTCGAAGCTCCCATTTTCCTGGACATATTGTCACTGAACCATGTGCTCGCCGCTACTATGAGTGAAACAGCAATGCGTGTCTTCTCCTTTGGGTGTTACCCCTTCCGGAATGCACGCGCAGCGCGTCCGACCGTGTATATCTTGTAGCAACGATTACTCTGAAGACGCAACGACGCCACCGGACGTACTTCCGTCGTCTTTGCAATAATAATTATTTATCTGTTTCAATGGGCGTGAAAATTACAATTTCCCAATACGGTACGTTGCTGGTTTACGTTCCAGTCTGCAAAGCTGATCAAAGTCACCTAAACTGTATAATCAAAATTCAAAACCTAAGATGTAATTTTTATAGCAATAAATAAATAATAACAACTATAGGTGTCGAGGTACCTGTATAATATTCAACATAAATATTTATTAAGATGTTATGACTTATGAGTAACACAGTTTATACTCTATTATATAGAGCAGTGGTGGTTTAAACTTTTTTACTAGAATTTACCAAATGTATTTGTTGTACAGTCCAACTAGGTACTCACCCAAAAAATTGTATAGCTTCACTCAAAATTTGAAGAATGTTTTGTAAAAATCTCTTATATATAGCTCTTAGGTTTCTCTTTTTGTACCAATCCTATAGAATAACCATCCCAAGCAGTGCTCGAATTGGGAAAAATTAAGTAGAGGAGCTCAATCTAACGATTTAAAAACTACGTTCCAAGGGCTCTATTATTCAACACAGACTATACAAAAAATAGTAGGGGTACGCAAAAAAAAAAAAATATAGTAGGGGAGCTCCGTCCTCCTGCGCATCACCCCCCCCCCCCAATTCAAGCACTAATCCTGGGTACCTATATCAGTCTAATTAAAATTTAAAAATTGTCAAATGTTAATATTTAATTGTTACAAGTGGTTTTTTTATTTAAAATGTTTCTACGTATTATTACATATTGTGTTTACAAGATTGTTAATTTTTATGTTTTTTTATTTTGATAGTTTTACTATTTTTAATTTATTGTTACAGAATACAGACCATATTATAGCTTATCCTAAGACAAATAAATATTATATTTATATAGTTTATAAAGTTTTAATATTTGAAGAAATCTAGCTCATTTTATACATTTAAATGATATAGTAGATTAGATATTTCTATATTAGTACATAATTGGTTTTTCAAATGAGATTTTATATTATAATTTATAAAATAAATTTGCCTTCTTTTATCAAGACTTATGAATAACTAATAAGTGATCACTATTAATGTCCTATTATAATTTACTCAGTGAAGCATACAGTTTTCTACATTCACGACGTTGATTTATGTAGCTAGGTACTCAATTTAATCAACTGTCAATAACTATTTTATTTTGTATAGCTATTAACTATTTGGATTTATTTGGCCACCTCTCCAGACGAGGGGGTATGGGACACTACCCCCATCCATCTACTATAATTTATACTTTAATCTCCTAATTCTTGGCAGTGTTATTTTTTAAAAATGTGAACGTATTATATACTGATTGATTACTAGGGATGGAATTTTAATGCCCTAAAAAACCTCGAAAAATGCACTTAAAAAAATACAAAAATAGCTTTAAATTTATTTAAAAAAAATATATTCATCATTAATAGTAGGTAGTAGTATATTTTTTGTTTTTTTTTTTAATAGTATTTTAAATAAATATACTAGTAATACTAGTAATTTATTAGGATACATTTTTAAACAAAGTTGTATAGATAGCTAGATCTCATCTACTTTTACCGTATACGTCACCTAAACTCGTTAACTAGGTTTTGACATTTCAACAATATTGTTAGATTATATAATACTAATTACGAATACCTAATTTATAATCTGTCATCTTTATACAAAAATCATTTGGTGTTTAAGAATTTTAAATACAATTTCATATTCATATTTTGTTTTAAAATCACAAAAAGTGGTCTAAAAACTCTAAAATGCCATAAAAAATGAATAAAATGACCTAATAAAGACTAAAAAAATTTAAAAAATTTAAAATAAACTTTCTTATTCTTATTCAAAAGTATATAAAACAAATTTGTGACAGTACGAGCTTTGGAAAACAATGCTAAGTGCATCGAAATCCCAGCCCTAGTGATTTCCAATAATGCTCACCCTTTTATTCTTTAGTACTTATTTCATTTATTAAAATTCTGGTTTAAGGAATACTTGAAGACTATAATATTTTCAAATACTTCATTATTTTAAAAATTTGAAAAGTGATCTGTGGCGTCCCAGATTTCTTTTTTTTCAAATAAGTACCATCACTATTTTTCTCGTGAATTACAAAAAGGATAATTTTTTTGATGATTTTGATGAATTAAATCATACTCAGAAAGTACTGTATCAAGTACAGTACTTGTACAAATTTCGATTTATGTACCTTCATTAAAATGTTCATGAAAGTTATCTGCTCAAATATTAGCAATGAAAAAAGTATGGTTCTCATTTGGAAAAAAAAAAGTTCTATATCAGCTAACTGTGTATTCTTTTTATAAGAAACTTAAGTATTTTAAAATATGGTTATTATAGCCTATATGTAGATACTAGGTATATTTAGGGGGTTAGCATGCTTAATGAATCTCCAAGTACTCCGGGTAAATATTGAGCAAATAGTTTATTTTATTAAGACTCATTTAAAATTTAGTTGCAAATTGCAGAATCCAGTAGTTGACTTGGTACACTTATTTTGTGGGATACCTTTTCTATGTACCTCTACTCCTCAAGCACCGCGTCTATTGTTTAATATTCACAACTCACGTACGATTATGTTTTAAAATACCCAATTAAATTATAAGTTATAGTTGTTAAGTTTTCCAAAGTCCCTTGCTATAGCTCATATTATATGAATATTATACTCAGCTGGTATATATATAATATTATATACTTACTATGTAATATGTATAGATATTTCCTAAATTACCGACTTCAAATGAATCTTTAGGTACCGTTTAGTGTTGATGTAATCACAAGATTTTTATAACGATTTGGATTTTATAAATGCGAACTGTGGGAGCTGTCTTCATACGGTTGGAAAACACGATCGAATTAAAATCAGCTGCGTAATGATGGACGTTCGTGACTGATCGTCAATCGGCGCCGCGGTGTAAACGACAACGGAGAATTTCTTCAGTGGCTATTACCGGCGGCGGCTGTGGAGCCATTGACATTGACCACGTCCCCCACCCCCCTGCACGGTCCTATTGCTATTATTTCATTTCCGTTATATATCTTTCCTATTTTTTTCCTCTTCCTCAGAATTTTTAAACGGTATCCTCATTGGTATTTTTTTATTCGCAACGCACCATAAATGCCCTCGTGATACAGTTTTTATGTTTTTTTTTTTCAAAACCGATTAGTGATTATACATTACGTATATATATAATTCCACTATTTCTGCTCATACTAGGACAGAATTATAGTCTACAATTATTGTTCACGTAATTTGATAACTGTATCTTTATAATATACTTTTTATTAGTTATTCCCTAGTTGTTATTGTTTAATTGTATAACAATATGTCAATATTTACTACAGAGATACAAAAAAACATTTCAGGGGCAGGTATTGTCGCCAGTCAGGCAGATGTATAATACAATTATAAAATTACTATAGAATCACAACTAGTTATGTCTTATTTTCATAGGAATCAGGAGCGTTAAATTCACTCAACCGTAAGCGTACCGGGCAGTGTTGGATAAGTTGCTAAAATCTAAGCTCATGAATTATTAACAAACACAAATACCTACTGTTTTTCGGTGTCACAACTTTGGTACAATCACGCATTGCGAGATGAGTGATTGTAGGAAACCTAATCAACCTGTGGATGGCACTGTGTAACATTTGCGTTTCACGCAGTCCGGAGATCTTATAATAGCTACCTTGCAATTTCAGGTTATTGCAATTTGATTAACATTTCTAAATTGGTAGGTGTATAGTTACTCCTTATTAAAGGGTTCAAAGTTTTCAGTGGAAAAGTTCAAAAGTGTAAGGTACCTTGCAAGCAACGTCCCCAGTATATTGGGATCTGCAATATGCCTATATCATACTGTTGCTTAGAAATTAGAATAATATTTTTAAATAATGAGGCAAGCGCTTTGCAACTCTGCTCGATAGAATATAGTCGGTAGGATTTTAGTAAACCTCGTTATTGAGTAGTACAGGTCACTGTAACGGGCACCTTAAATTTGAATTCAATGATAAATACCATAAATCACTGCACACGAAAAAAAATTAAGAGCAGAGACGGTTTGTCGGCCTCTATTATTTCTAAAAAGATAATTTCTAAAAGTATTTACAATTAATCATTTATTTTCCTATATTAATAGCAGTGCGCAGTATGTTGAACTAATTTTTTCAAAAGACATCGCACTCCCATAATATATAATTTATACATATAATTATTATTAACTTAGAAGTCAACGAGTACCGTAGAACGGATTGAATAGCCAGAATAGGTTCAATACCGTAACGTAAAACTCGTCCATCATTCGGTTTATTGAAATAATATACTACTATTGATTATCTTTTATAATAAAACAACAAAACAACACTGCACAGTCACCATTTAATATTACACAAAGTGTGTCGTATGACACATACATTTAGTCCCTGCTGCGCCAAACTATACAATTACATACTTATTTCAGAAATATTGGACAAGATTACGTGTGGGATGAATTAATATTTCCCGGGATGAACGAAAGTATTTACGCTGTGTGCATGTGTTACAAGCTGCTACGGACACTTGGTTTTACCGATTTACAATTGTTTGCAGCAGATTTCTTGACCACGGATAACTTTATCAAATATTTTATTGAAATAGATTCTGTCCCCGAACTGAATCCATCTATACGAGCGTTATTGCCAATTTGGTGCCTGTGGTCCTATGTGGCATTGTAAAAGGTATATTTTTTTATACCTATAGTGTTGTAAATGATTTGGTTACGTGTATTTTAATACTGAGTTATAGTGTGTTTTGTAAGAATATTTATTCAATACGCT